GAACTGCTTTGATGGGGCTGCAGCAGCCATTGCTTGCCATGGCCCCCTGTGGTGCAGCTGCCACAGGGCACCTGGGCAGTTGGGCCTGCTGACACTGAGTGCACCCTTCTGGTCTTGCTTGGTTTGGCCTCCTCCTCTGCTTCCTATTCTGTGTCCCTTCCCTTTCAGCCTGTGACCCCAGCTCAGGAATGAGGTGGCCACTGGCAGTCGGGGAGCAAATGTGCTCCTTCTTTCACGTGCTCCTTTGTGCGGATGTCTGAGATGCTTCGACTTGGTGTCATCACACTCAATCAGCGGACTCTCCTGCTATTGCTTTTGGAGAAACACAGATAGTGGAGGTGATCTTTCCTTTACATCCAGGCTCCCACTGTGATATCTTAATGCTCTGCTGAGGGAAAGGCGAGTTAAGTTTTGGTTATGCAGAATACAGGCTGGGATGAAGAAGATTTATCACTCACTGTGTCCTCAGCTGTCCTGTCCTGCTTGCTCCATTTGCGTGTTTTTTTGCCACCCCACTCTTCCCACGAAGTTTGCAAGCTTCCTCACTTGATCAGAAGAAAAATGTTTAGGGAAATTTGGGTAGAAATGACACTGGGACCTCCGGCCAGAAATACGGCCATCACTAGTAATGCTGATGTGTTAGAAACCTCTGTGTTCCTATGCGGCTCCCTCGCATAGGGAGCGCAAGCAGTTGTGGTGACTGGGTGGGAGGCTGGATCATGCTGACAGCCAGTGCACAAGTGGGGCCAGACCCTCCTCCAAGACAGGCAGTGAGCATCCTCCCCCAGCAGACAGCTCAGAGCAGGACTTTTCTCTAAGGAGTTATTGCTACATGGGATTGCGGAGTGCTGGGCTGATGGCGTGATGTCTTCGCAGGACACGTGTGGGGAACATGGTTGAAAGACAGAGTGGCAGAAGCAGAGATGTTTTGAGTGGCTCCCTGTTTTGTCTCCTTCCTGGGAGTCCTGACCCCACATTCTAGGATTAATCCTTGCCCAGGCAACGTAGGCTTTGGTAACCGCCGTTCCTGGCGGCCTCCTTGCAGCTAGGACACCTCTCAGTGCTGAGCTGCATCTTGGACATCTTGGGGCCTCTTCCACTTGGGGAAGGAGTTCAGTTCCCTTTCCCAAGCTCGCTCTCCGATCCAGAGGAGCCGCCTTGGCTGAGCACAGCCAAGCCCAGGGCGCCTGTGTCCTCAGTTCTAGTAAAGCCTCTGCCGTCCCACTCCTATGCCAGGTCGGTAACGAACAGAGTCCCTTTTCTGTAGCCGGGGCCCCGTCACTGAGCGCCTGGGACCCGGGGCACCCCGGGCTGCGCCGCTTGTGGCGCTCGA